TGGTCCCAGGTCCCACCACCTCCCCTCCTTTCTCTCTCTCCTACCCCTCCCTTGCACACAAATACACAATCACTCATTCAGAAGTTGCAAGATACACACACACACACACACACACACACTCTCACACACACACACACAGAAATATTACTCAGCATTAAAAAGAGATCCTACCATCTGCCACCACACGGATGACCTGAAGGACATTACATTAAGTGAACTAAGCCAGGCACAGAAAGAAACATGCTGCATGAGCTCTCTGACACTGTAATTTTTAAAAAATGTTTGAAGTCAAATACACCAAGTTAGAGAATAAAGCAGTGGTTACCAGGAGCCGGGAGGAAATGAGGACATGAGAGGATACAAAGTGGCATACAGTAGGATGAACAAGGCTGAAGATCCGATGTACAGCACGAGGGCTATAATCAATGATATTGTATGGGGGGGGTGCTAAATAAGCAAAATTCAGCCTCTTCTGCTCTCCTCCCACACACAGTGAGATGACAGATACATTAATTTGGTTCACCTTAGTAGCCATTTATCTAAATGTATCCTATAACATCATGTTGTACACCTTAAATATACACAATAAAATTTATTTTTAAAAAATAGTCCCTTCTGGGGCCAGCAGGTAGTATAGTGGTGAAGGTGCTGGACTCCCACAACATCGACTGCAGTTTGAGTCCTGGACCTGGAAGCCAGAAACTCATGCCAGGCACATGTGCATATGTGCTCAAAATCCTGACAGGACAATTAAGGAGAAGGGATTACAATGTAGCAATCGCCCTGGGAAGTGATTTCTCACTTTCTGCCTCTCTGTCTCACTCATCTGTCTGGCAAGCACATGGACCCTAGAGCAAAATTCTCTCAAAAGCAGCTACTGGGGCCAGCAGGTACCAGAGTGGTTAAGGTGCTGGACTCCCACACAGCAGACTGGGATTCAAGTCCCAGATCCAGGGGCCTGAAAAATCACACAGGGCAGATGTGTGTGCATGCAGAAAATCCTGCGAGAAGAATGGAGGAGAAGGAATTACAGTGTGGCCATCTCTCTTGGGAAGAGATTTCTCATTTTCCCTCTCACTGTGAGTGCAGGCCCCCTATGACAAAAACAAAAACAAACAAACAAAGGCAGCTAGCCTTTTCAGAATGAAGGGAACATGGTTCCACAAAAAATTATTGCTCTACCCACTCCATTCTTTTTTAAAAAATATTTATTCAATTTCATGCATTTATTGTTATTCTTCAATTTGTCCAGACAGAGAAAGAGAGAGAGAGAGAAGGATATTAAGAAAGCAAGCCACCAGGTCTAGGACTTGATCCATGGTCAGCCATGTGGGAATCTATCACCTTAACCACCATACCACACATACCAGTCCCCATACCCTTCTTTCGATAACACTTCACTGAGCAGGTGGTACATGTCAATATCCACTCAGAGATGAAGTCACATGGTCCCTGCCTTCAAGAAACTCACAGTCTAAAGAGTTCCTCAAATTCTCCTGCCAATACAAACAAAAGAGAATAGCTCTGAGCTACAGCCCAGGATCCATTAGACACCCAGCCAGCTTGATGTGCTCAGAAGCCGCAGTCTTCCACTCAGCAGCAGAGATTTTAGCTTCTGTTGTTGAGCTCTCTACATGGCATAGCTCTTACACGTCCTATTATGATCACAGGGTGCTTGGGTCGTTTAGTTTTGTTTTGTTTTCCTGTAACTGAGAGCTCATATGTTTGCAAGAGAGAAAGAGAGAGAGAGAGACAGCAAGGTCTCCTTCCCAGTGGAGCATGGTCCCACTGCAGTCTCTTCTCCTCCATTTCTCCATTACGTCCACATGCATCTGGTGTGTTTTTCAAGTCGCCAGGGCCAAGATTCAACTCTCAGCCAGCCATGTAGAATCCCATAGGCCCTGGGGCCAGCTCACATGCTTAGATTTTTTTAATTAATTTTATTATTATTTTTTTTTTTTTTGGAGAGGTTTTTGCTACAGGGCGCATGCACTCGCCAGAAAGACAGAGGGAGACAGACAGACAGAAAGTGAGAAATCACCCCCCACGGGAGATGGCCATGCCACAATCCCTTCTCCTCCATTCTCCTCTCCGGACCTTGGGCATGCATGCACACGGGCCCAGCGTGAGTTTAAGACACCAGGTCCAGGACTCAAACCGTGGTCAACTACATGGGAGTCCAGTGACATAGCCATTAAACTAACAGCTGGTCCCAAATTTATTTATTTTTAAGGTTTTTGCCATAGGGTACGTGTGTTTGCCAGACAGAGACAGAGAGAGAAAATTAGAAATAACCTCCATTCCCTACTGGGATTTTAGGCATGCACTCACACATGCCTGGCTCAGGCCCAGGACTCAAACCGCAGTCGGCCATGTGGGAGTTCAATGCCTGAATCACCAAGCCACCTAAGGATCACAGGACAAAACTGTTTAGATGATAAGTAGAAAACCCCTTAACAGTTATGTACATGCTTTGTCAGCTTCTATTTCATTCTAAGTCCTATGTCCCATGCCTTAAAAGTACATATATGTGTATGTAATTATATAAATACAGTTACTCAAACATACATATATTTTAAAAACACTCCGGAGAACCTGTAGTCCTCCTTCAAATTCCATTCCTCTGCCTGGGAACACAGTTCCAAATGGAATGAATTTTCGTTTCTTTGTGTCCAGATCAGAATGAAATGGCTTTCTATTCTACACAATAAGACCTGGGTACCTCTGTCTGCTCTTTTAACTATGTAAATAGAAGACTTGGATGGGGGGGGTAAAAGTTATAATACTGTATATGGAATGAGGAAATGTGAGAACTTCATATTCTAAATAGAATTCTTCAAGTAGAAAAAAATCCACAGCTATTTTTCAGTCAATTCTATTCTCTTACTTCCCTTCTTTAGATAAGACACAGCTGAGCTCCTCCAGGCAGTAAAACCGTGGCCTGCGTGATTTGGCCGTGAGTCAATTTGAGATCAGCTCAAAGCCAGCCACAACCTCCCAGCCCATCCCTGTCTGAGGATGTTGTGAATACATTTTCAGTGTCTTCTTGGTGTCTGCCTTTTAATCCTCAGAGTCTCACTGTCCCTGCAAATGCTGCAGGCGGCCTTCTGCAGCTTTTACCACTGGACTCTGCAGAACAAAAAGCGAACAGGTTGCTTTGCCTTCTCTGCTATGCTCAGGTTTGAAGGGAGCAGAGGAGAGCTGGGTATGTCTACACCCTTTTCTCTGCGCACATACATCATCATCATCTTAATCAGCCCAGTTTGTAGCCTTCCTGTTACGGGAGAGGCAGTGTGGTATGTGCTTCACATATGTGAATCTCTAACAATCCCAATGACTCTTCAAAGTATTAGTAATCTCCACATTTATAATGGGAAAAACTAAGGGTTATAAACATTAAATAATTTGCCAAGAGCACTCAGTTTATAAATGACATAAGACAGTGTTTGGGCCAGATAAATTTGTCTCCCTGCCCTAAGCCTCACACTGGTTGTCTGTTTAATAAACTAATCTCATGAACTTTATCTCTGAACTATGCAAAGTGCTAAGAACTCAGGCAACAGGAGTTTGAGATGGCTGACTACAGTTAAGTAATTCCTTTTGGCCTCCTTTAGAAAGAGACCATTACCTACAGGATTCTTGACACACACACACACACGCACACACACACGCACACACACGCCCATGCACGTTATCTACGAGTGATGCAGACATGAGGGTCTAGACCTGAAATTAAAACAGCGCTCCTGTACTCCTTTGGAAAGTCATCATAAAGTAACTAGGGAATGGGGAGGGATATTTTGAGGTGCAGATAAAAGCATGTCCCTAACTCAACCATCCACATGGAGACTGAGTAATTTATTTATGAACTCAAGAACACTTCCCGCCAAAAGGAGACACAGTGATGTAAAGAACAGTAACCAGTGTTAAATTCCATTTGACATCTGAAACATGAGCAAGCACAGGCCTACCGAATGAAACTACACAACTGGAATCACACATTGGGAGATTGCAATAATCCTTGGAAGTCATTTAGTATTTCCACTACAGTGCCTTCGCCCATTTTCTGAATCACTTTATCAGGTGTTCAGCCAACTTGAACAACCACAAATATTTTTCATGCTACAAAGATTCATTTCTAGTAATTTTTTTTTTAATTTAAGATGCTTAGGCTGGTCCTTTTGTTTTGTTTTCCTAAATGGAAAGGGTTAGTTTCTCCTTATTAGACTTGTTCCTTTTCTCACGTTGAGATCTATAATTTCCAGAGAACCTTTATCCTGTACTTTTCCAGGGATAGAAAAAAATTTAAAACTAATAGCAATTTCAGAACACTAAATGTGATGTGGAAAAACTTATCCATATTTTTTATTAAGGGAGGTTTTTTGCTACAGGGTACATGTGCTTACCTACCAGAGAAACAGAAAGAGACAGAAAGCGTGAAATCACCCCCTCAGGGGGAATGGCCACACCACAATCCCTTCTCTTCTAGTCTCCTCTAGGGATTGTGGGCATGCACGCACTTGTGCCTGGCATGTTTTAAGGCTAGTAGACCTACGACTCGAACCATGGTCAACTACGTGGGAGTCCAGTGATGTAACCATTACCCCATCTCTACATTTTTTTTTCTTCTTTGTAAAAAGATTTTTTTAAAAAAACATTTAAGGCATCTGGATCACACATAGCCAATGACACAGTTCAAGTCCCTGACTTGGCGGCTTGAAAAATATGCCAGGCATGTGTGCATACATGCTTAAAATCCAGAATGGAGGGAGAAATGAAGGAACTGAAACATGACCATCCCCCACTAGAAGTGCTTTCACCCTTTCTCTCTGTAGTGAGTAAACACACCTTCTAGCAATTTTCTTTCTTTCTATTTGTTGTTGTTGTTGTTGTTAAAAGGCAAAAGAGAGAGTGGTCATAAGTTTGTGTCAAACTGAAAATCAGTTTCTTTCTGACACCTGTTTATATCCATAATGAGACTTGATGCTTTTTCCCCTCAGCTTCATTCAGATATGGACAGGGGAGATGGCTCCATCAAATATATTCTCTCAGGAGAAGGCGCAGGCATCGTGTTTACCATTGACGACACCACTGGAGACATCCACGCCATCCAGAGGCTCGATCGAGAGGAAAGAGCCCAGTACACTTTAAGGGCTCAAGCTCTGGACAGACGGACGGGCAGGCCAATGGAGCCAGAGTCAGAGTTCATCATCAAAATCCAAGATATCAACGACAATGAGCCCAAGTTCCTGGATGGCCCTTATGTTGCCACTGTGCCAGAAATGTCACCAGTGGGTAAGGTGGTGATGCCCTAAGTTTCAGTTACTCTAAAGAAGAACTATCTGTAATATACGCAGAGAGGAGAGAACGTACAGAACAGCTCACAGATCATGAAACTGAACAAAATGACAACCAAGTCCTTTGGCAAGCAGAAGCCTGCTTAGACATGAAAATCACCCTAGTAAAATATAATAATAAGCTTAGTGTTGTTTTCTGTTCCAATTCTTCAAAACAAAAAAAAAAAGAAAGAGATATGGATGGATCCATCCGCAAGTATTTTGGTATTATCAAAAGCACAATGAAGAGGCCCAAGGCTATATTGTCTCTGCAGGTTATTCAGAATTTAAAAAACAAATAATTCCCATGCCCACTAAATAAGTATAAGACAGGAGTTTGGGCAGCTTGACCTAGAAAGAGGAGTCTCTCATCAAAACAAACACTGCCATCTGCGAATGCTTTAAGATTGATAACTCGGGACCATTCAGCCTTTAGCTTGGACTTGAACAGGTTTCCCCCCCTTCTCTTCCTCAGGCACCTCTGTTATCCAGGTGACAGCCACAGATGCTGATGATCCGACCTACGGCAACAGCGCCCGGGTGGTATACAGCATCCTCCAGGGCCAGCCATATTTTTCTGTGGACTCCAAAACAGGTATCTGATCCAAAAGTCAAGTCAAAGATGTTTGCTTTATTCTCTAATCATTTATAACTGCTACTATGTCAGGCCCAACTCTCCTTTTCAAGGACTCTCCAGGGAGTGGATGTATTAACCAGAGAAGATTGTTATAGGCTTTAGGATTAAGAGAGCAAACTAGCAGTACCCTGGTGGGTAAGAGCAACACTATATAGAGATAGTGTCTAGTGTCTGATTGGAAAGGCCAAAGGTCTGCCTACACAAAAGTATTCCCTCACTAGTCTTCAAAAAGTCCTCTGGTTATATTTATTCCCAGGGACTATAGTCTTTTATAACTTCAAAATGACCTAAAAGGATTGTCACATGCACCTGGGCCCACGACAGAACTGGAATCATTGATTCCTGAGAGGGCCACCTGAGAGGGCCTTTGGAGAATCATCCAGTCCATCACCATTCACTTAGCACACAGGGAAATTGGAAAATTAAGAGCTAGCAAAGTCCATGAAGTGCAGCTCTGTCCCTTGACACAGGGTCTGATGTTCCTTCCACTGAACCACTCAATAATAAGCAAAGAACAGGCCAGAGTGAACAGTTGCCAGGCAAATAGGATCTGATGAGGGAGAAATGAGCACATGGGATGAAGCCCCCTGACCAGACAGTTTTAACAGAGAAGACAGCAGAGAAAGTCGAATGGAAAGGAGCAATGTGGCAAAAAAGGACAAAGCAACAAAAGTGTGGGGTTTTGTTTGTTCCAGCTTTACCTGAGAGCTTTTGCTATAGAGATTGCATGTTTTAAACTATGAAGGCTTTCCTTTAATACTTTTTAGTTGTGCATCATAATTACGAATTATCTCATACTCAGGCTGGTTTTTCTCCTTAAGAAACCTTCGAAAAGGTCTTGAGCCTCCCAATAATCTTGTGAACTAACAAAATATATAAGGATTTTTTTCCCCTTTTTATTACTTTACTTACATTAACCCATTTATTATAAAGGATACTATACAAGATGTAGAAAGTATACATAGGACAAAGTACTGGGACGGGATGTGGAGCCTCCCTGTCTGCTCTGGGAGGCACATGTTCAGCAGTCTGGAAGCTCTTTGAACCTCTGCCATTTTGAGTTTTTATGGAGGCTGTATTACTTAGGCATGATTGACTCTGTTTTTGGCCATTGGTGATCAATTCAACCTTCAGTTGCATTCCTCTCTGCAGATGTTGGGAGTGAGGCTGAAAGTTCTAACTCTTTAATCACTTGGCTGTTTACCCCACCATTTTTGTTGTTGTTGTTGTTAATTTGCCATAAGGCATATGCATTCACCAAAGAGAGAGAGAGAGAGAATGGTTAAATGTAAATTAAAAAAAAAAAAAAAAGGAAAGAAAACAGCTCCTAGAGAGGATGGCCTCATTGTAATCTTCCTCCATTTTCCTCTCGGGATTTTTGGCACACACGCACACATGCGCCTGGTCTCTCAAAGCCCTGGGTTCAGACTTGAACCGCAGTTGGCCACGTGGGATCTAGCTGCCTCAACCACCAGGCCATGGACTGGTCTGTCCCTGGCCTTTTTGTCCTTTTTTTTTTTTTTTTAATTTTATTCATTTTGAGAGAGAGACAGGCACCCCTGGTAGGATCTCACCATGTCACAGTTCTCCTGTCTGAGCCCTCCAGCCAACAAGGATTACAGGTACACCCATAGTATGCCCTGTATATTCTGATCAATACGACATTCAAACCCAGGGCCTTCCCACATGACTCCAGTATCACACAGCGGCACCCTACCACCTGCATCACTATGGCTGGGTCTACATAAGTATTACTACTCATTTTACATGATGGAAAACAGAGAACTTGGGAGTAATTAATAAGGAACTTTAGTAAGGAAACTTACAGCCACAGAGATAAACTCAGTGGTGAACACTGAAACTCACCTCTTTATTTGAGAGAGGAAAAAAAAAAATACATTTCTATTATTAGCAACCTGATAGCATTTTTTCCCAAGAGTCCCAAGGGGAACCAGGTATTCAGAAAATTGTATCATGAAAGTAGAAAGTGAGGGAGTGTAAATTAGTGGGAGGGAAGAAAAACGATTGCAGTTAGGGACGTCTATAAAACAGTAACTTGAACAATTCTACTAACAGGGGGAGGGAGAATGAAGGGATGCCCACAGGGAGGAAAAATACAGGCAGGAAGAGGGTAATGTGTCCCTTATATCCTAAGAAGAATCTTACATTATTTTGACAGCTCCCAGGGGGCATCTGTAGTGTTGAGGTCAAAAATACATGAAACAAGAGTTATTGTTGTACCCTTGGAGCATTTGAAAAATGAAAATACTGCATATTTCACTTTGAATATTATTACTATAATTCTATACACACACACACACATATATTACTATAATGTTATATACATAGTTGTGCCTGATCCTTTCCCTTTCATGCTAAAGGTCTATTTAGCTAAGGGGCATGTTGTAAACCTGCAGTAAATAAGTCTCTAATCTTGGTGCATATAAATCAACTTTTCTAAGTTAAAGGTTAAAGGGGAGGTCAAACATAACCGCACATTCTTGGCAGGATCAAAACAACGCATTTCAATGAATTTGATTTAAGACCCCCTTCTTAAATGAAACTATATGATCACACTGCAGTTGCTACTTACTGCCCGGGAATGTTCATCGTTTATGCATGGTAAAAGTGAACGGCTCACAGAACATCCTAATTCATAGAATTTACTAAGGCACCAAGGTGAGCAGAACAGGACAAAACAGAGTGAGCACATAACAAAAGGAAAATCAGATTAGAATTGCACCACGATTTTCAGGAAGAAGCAGAGTAGGAATGAGTTACCTAAAAAAGGGTCATTTATACAGTACTGCAAGGGTTCGTGGGGCTGAAGAGAGAAAAATCTAGAGAGAATCCAAAATCATAGATCTGTACACATCTGAGGCTTTGTTTTCTGGACTCAAAACCCTCATTTTCTCCAGTGAGACAAAGCCATCTGAAACCGCCTTGGACTGCCATTCCCCCAGTCTGTAAGAGAGGCACTGCCGCCACCTCCTGGCCTCTTTCAGTAGTACTGCCAGTTCAGCCCTCAGTTCCTTCTGCTGGAACAGGACTGAGTCACCGTTTATTCCACCACAGTACTTGTTTGCAGGTGGGATTTTTATCTGAGATTTAATAAAACACAAGTGATTTGCATCTCAACTGTAGGTATTAACAGTACTTAAGGGAGAAACCTAGAAACCAATTTTTAATTGATATATAATTACTGTATATATTTGTGGAGTACAATATGATTTTTCTATACAAGAATACAATGTGTGGGGATTAAATAAGATCCATCATCTCCACCATTTATTATTACTCTGTGTTAGGATATTCAAAATCCTACTTTTTAGCTACTCTGAGATATACAATAAATTACTGTTAGCCATAGTCACCCTACTGTACTTTTAATACTAGAAATTGTTCCTCTGACCTACCTAGCTATCACATCTTTACCTGACCTCATCCTTCTCAGCTTCTAGTAATGATTCTTCTACTCACTGTTTCCATGAGATTATCCTAGAAATTAATCTTTCAAAAGCTAGACTTGTGGATTTGTTTTGAAAAACAAAGTCATTTCTGTCCTGCAGGTGTCATTAGGACAGCGCTCATGAACATGGACAGAGAAGCCAAAGAATACTATGAAGTGATTATCCAAGCCAAGGACATGGGAGGGCAGCTTGGAGGGCTGGCTGGGACTACGACAGTCAACATAACCCTCTCGGATGTCAATGATAACCCACCCCGCTTCCCCCAGAGTGAGTACCTAACCAGGGAAAGCACAGACCTCAGGCCAAAGGACCTGTTCCGGAGGTCTAGGAGAAAGGCCAGCCCGAGTTTCCTTGTTGTCTGACTATTCACGGATTCCTTTCCTACGCTCACCATGCATTTCTCACATAACCATTTACCCTTTGCATCTCAGCTTCCCATAGCACTAAACCAGTGTTCTCATGTGTTTTGTTTCTCATTATCTCCTCCCTATGGAACTATTTTTTTCACTTTTTTAATTTATACATTCAATCACTGTATATCATTACAACTTACAAAAGTAATTTTCCCTGCATAAATACACTGTCCATTAGTCCATTTAAAGAAATTATCAAACATTATCAACCGATAATGTTCCATTTTTATGTCCCTTAAATTTTTTTCTTCTTTCTTTTACCTCTTGATTCTCTTCCTCTTCTTTTCACTTTTTTTTCCTGGTGGCCACTCCCACCTACTCCACATAAAATTAAACACTATGGAAATAAGATTTGCTGGGTAGAGTCGAAGTTCAGTGGGCCACAAACCATTGTAATAGCTAAGTTTTTTTTTTTTTTCACCATACCTCCCCAACCAAGAACAAATTTTTGCACCTATGGGGTGATATTGTTCTGTTGAGAATGCATGCACTAACACTAAGCCAAAATTACAGTGAACACACCCAGCCATCTGACGATCTTAGGCAATCAATCACAAGTAGGTACCAAGCAACTGCCCTGTAAGGGCACTGCACATGAAGGGCTCAAGACGCTTAGAAGCCAGTCCTCAGTTCTGTGATGCTTAAGATCCACTTGGGGAGTACACATCCAATACACAGGAAAAGGTAGCAGATCAATGAGCAGCATTTGATGTGTCACTTTGGAAGTGCAAATTCATGCCTTCAAAATAAACTAAGATGAGAGGCCAGCCCCATAGTGCACCAGTTAAGTGCTGTGCATAAAAGGTGGGACCCTGGGCCATTAGGCCTCATGGTAGTTAAGATGTTGGATCCCACGTGGCCCACTCCACAGTTCAAGTCTCAGATCTGTCAGCTTTAAAATCACCCCAGGCGCATGTGCATGCATACCCAAAATCTCCAGAGAAGAATGGAAGAGAAGGGATGTAACATGACCATACCCCCTCCCTGGGGGGAGGGGGGGGGAATTTCTCAATTTCCTTCTCTCTGTCTCTCTCTGATGAGTATACACAGCATGGCAAAAGTTTTTTTAATTTAAAATTTGTTTAAATCCCATATGGTCACCACAGTTTGAATCCCAGTCCTAGCAGCCTGAAATACACACCAGGCATGTATGTATGCATGTATGCCCAAAATCCTGGAGGAACGGAGAAAAGGAGGAGAAGGGATTGCAGTGTGATTGATGTCCCATCAGGAACTCTTTTCTCTCTCTTTCTCTTTTTTCATGAGTGTACACACCAACTAGCAATATGAAACGAAACAAAAACAACTAAAATGAATGAAGCCTTCTTAGAAGGAAGAGACTTCAAAAGGGGATTGACGAATATAACAGGCAGAAGGAAAAAAGTTCATAAGGGGAATGCCATTCACTCATTCAAAAAATATTTAGTTCAGGCACCACTCTTGTACAGAACACAAAGCAATGTACAAAACAAACTAAATCTGCTCTCCTAGAGCTCATTTGAATAGCAAACTGCATTTAAGAAAAAATACACACACACACATGCACACTTACACACAAATGCACACACACACCAGGATATAAAGTTGCTAATGTCATTTTACGTTCAAAGACCTCTAGAATCGAGATCTATTCTTTTAAATGTGTTACATTTATAATGGAAATCACAAAAAAAAATTTTTTTTTGAATGAGAGACATAAGCAAAGACCAATGTGGTGGTCATACACAGGATGGGTTAGCGAGGGCAAGAGTACAGCAGAGGAGTCTTTTAGAAGGCTTTTGCTTTTTTTTTTTTTTCCTACTTTTTAGTTTGCTCATGTGCACTCTGGATAGAGACACAGAGAAAGAAGGAAGGAAAGTGGTGAGAAATCACCCCAGGAGGGATGGCCACCCTGCAATCCTTTCTCCTTCATGCTCCTCTTGGGAGCTTGGGA